TTGTGACAGGAGGAATAGTAGTTGGAAATTTGAAAGTTAGTTAAGTTTCTTATCTATAATATCTGTTAGTTCAAAGATAATAAATCGCAGTAACAAGGTATTTTTCCTTTGAGACAAATAATAATTTGATCCATTAATTGTTATTACATGTCAATAAGTTTTTCTTTTGTAAAATTCTTGCATAAGAATCCAATGATTGGCATTGTTTAACGCTTTGTTCAGCTGTTTGTGAACATGAAAGATTCAATGTTGAAACAAATAATTGAATATATATAATGGTAAAATAACATGAACGTTGATCCCTATGCTATAATAATTCAACATTCTTTGGCAGTTTGCCAAAAACGGTAAAGTTCTATAATATTTGCTGTTTCAAAGGCATTCTTGAATTTCCTGAGTTGAGAGAAATAAACAACAATGCCTAAAAAAAATTGGTTGATGCACCTTCTCCATTTTAGTGAAAAAACCAAAATTATTCTTAAAAATTATAAATACATTTCCTAATGCATCTCAAATACACCAAATTCATAGGTAACTAAACCACACATTTATTCTGTAAAAATAAAATAAAATTCAGAAATATATTTCTGGAATAAATTCAAAAATATATTTTTGTAAATAAGTGTTATATCAAGAAGCTTAGTCATTAGCTTGCTCACCATCATTTAACAATTTTTTAGAATCAAAGTATAGACAATGGTTACAAGTTAACAAAATTTAACAAACTAATCAACAATATATACACCGACTAATCAATGATTCGAATATTTTAGATTTTCTCCATTAAATTTCTCTCTTTTTCTCTCTTCTTTTTTTATCTTTCTCTCAATCTCATTCTCTCTCTTGATTATCTTTTATTTCTTAATGATGAGTGAGAATGAAATTAAGAAAAAGATAAAAAGTTAAAAGAGAGGAAGGAGAAAAGTGAAAAAGAGGATTTAATCCATGATCCGGTTAGTGATTATTAATAATTATGTTTGTTTTCTTTTAAGAGCAATCATTTTAATTGACCCTCATGGATACTACTATGCTTTTAATTAGCACTCATGGATGGTGCTATCTTATTCACAAACTTTAATACAAATTTTAGAGAATTTAATTTGTCACTCCTTATACCTGACATCCTCACATTATTTCATAATTTCAAAAGTGTCTCTGTTCAAATTTGATGACAAATATACGTATGTAATTTTTGGTAGGAAATTCAAAATTTCTGGCAGTGTATTCATAATTTCTAGTATGAACTAATATGGAGAATTTAAAAAATTTCCGATACACCGAGAATAATATTGATATTTTCAAAAAATGCCATGTGATATCGAAAATTTCAACCAAAGCGAAATTTCCTGTAATACAATTTTATAGATTTTTCAACGGTTAGGATTCTGCCGATAGTTTTATACAACTGTGATTGCACTGACTGTTTTGTGTGGTCTAGAATGAATTCAAAGTTGTATAAATAAGGATAATTTATTATTGAGAAAAACATCTCAAAATGTTTCTTCTTCAATTTTTGATTAAGATAGAAGTGTACTTCAATGGAGATAAACCTCTTGTAGAGTTCCAGCTTCCGGAAGACACCACATATCTCACCTCATTGACATTCAAGTTAAATGAATTGTTGTCTGATATCGATAACAGAAAGGTGGAAAAGACCGAGTTTCGTGAAGATTGGATCGGTATTGATGGAAGGGTGAAATACAACCTTATTGAGCTAAAGACAAATGAAGATTTGACGGTTATGTAGAGATCGTTTTCCCGTAGGCTAACTAAGGGGCTGGTCGATCGAGTTTGATGCGAAGATTTCAAGTTTTATCGGCGAGATGATTAAGATGCTGAAACGTCCAGAATCATCTGGTAGTAAGGGTGGCAAAGCGGACGGTCCGCCCCGTTTACTAACGAGTTGGCGGGTTGGCGGGCCGGCTCGTCAATTTTTTTTTTTTTTAATTTTATAATTTGATTTAATACATAGTTTAGAAATTTTTTAATTATTACCAAATAGGTCAATAAAGAAATTTTTGTAACAACGCATAATAGAACTTCAAGATGTCTTAAGTCCAAACAATTTAAAAAATTTAGTAAATAAAACCAATTACAACAAAATAACAAAATAAACTCAAGCACAATTAAAAAAAAATCAAAATAAATAAACAATACATATCATCATAATCCTATTTAAAAACTAATTATTAAAATAACCCAATTTAGAATTTACACAAAACTAACAATGATAACAATAACATTGCATAAAACGTCACATTGCATAAAATAGTAATGCATAAAATATCAACACCGAACTTTTCCACTCTTTACATTATATAAACTCTTATGTTAACCGATTCTTTAATAGTTAAATCCTAAATTTGTCATATGTATACACTAATCAAATCCTTTTTTTTAAATCAACATCTATTTCTAAAGAAAACATCTGAACTAATATATTGAAAACGTAATATTATGCATGTCATACATTTGTTCTTTTATTTCAATCATTTTCAAT